AAAAAAAAGAATAAAAAAGAAATTGATCCCACAGACATAGATTCACACTTGCGGAAGTAGATGCAGGATTATTCACTGCAGTGTTTCTGTCAGTAGAATAAAGTCAATGCCATGATTTTCCATTCATAGAAGATGCACACAAATTCAGAGCCCATCCATGCAATGGGACACCACACCGTCATCGAGGGGAACGAGGACAGTCCTCACTGCTGATCTCCAAAAGCTTTTAGGTGAACAAACCAAAGCTCAGAGCAGCCTGTGTGGACACTGGTCACCTCTGGAGAAGGGAATGGGACAGATGCTACTGTGCATTTTGAATTTTTGCTCATGTGAATATATCACTTGTCCAAAAGTACTCAGACCAAAACTACTGGGGAAAATAAGAAGACGAGGCAGGAGGAGTACTCAGGAGGTGAACGACAAGGGACCTCGAAAACCAGTTCTGCTGTTTGAACGTTCTCCTGTCTTTGTGGAGTTGAGGGTGGTGTGTGTGGAAGAGCCCAAGGGGAAGGGGGGATAGACAGGGACAGATGCTCAAAGCAACAAAGGGGCTGGGGACAGGCTTCTGCTGTTTGAACGTTCTCCTGTCTTTGTGGAGTTGAGGGTGGTGTGTGTGGAAGAGCCCGAGGGGAAGGGGGGATAGACAGGGACAGATGCTCAAAGCAACAAAGGGGCTGGGGACAGGGAGGGCCCCCTGGGGCCACCAGGGTGCACCCAGGATGAGGATGGACCCAGCCCTATTCTGAGCTGGAAGATGTGCTGTGCCCCACAGCCCCAGGCAGGGGGCTCTGGCCTACCTGTGTCATCTCCTAAGGAGACTCTGATTGTTGGTGTCCATGGGGCATCTAGGACAGAACAAAAAGATTTACCTCTACAGGTGGGCAGAGGGGAGTAAGTTAAGGATAGGCATTCTTCCCCCTCACCACCACCACCACTACAGAAGCCACGGAAATGCAGGAGGAACAGGGCTTGTGTCCTTCTAGGTCCTCTACCCAACCAGGCCTCCAGGACACATCCACCAAGTGTCCCCAGCCCTGGTCCGCTTGTTCCCCCACACCCCCACGGACCTGGACATCCTAGCTGGGCACTCACTGGAGACATTCAGCTTGATGGTCACAACAGCTTCAGAGAACATCTCCTGACAGGTGAGGTCGTGGCTGTGGTCCTGGAGCCGTGGGTTGAGAGTGAGCACTGCGGAGCAGGCAGTTCTTGGACCCAGGTAGGTGGGCAGCTGACATACAGGAGAAGATGGGGGGTGTCCCATCTGTGTCCCCCACTCACAGGCCCAGGACACAGAACAGGTCAGGTTCCTGGGGTGGCTGGACTCCAGGGTCCCTGGGATGAGGATGTAGGGCATGTGAGTCAGGGCTGGTGAAAAGAGGGACATATGGGATCAGGAGGGAAGGTTCGAGATGTGATCCTGAGAGAAACTCAGGCTCTGGTCCAGCTCCTCCCCAAGCTCTGCACCCTTTACCCCCAAGCCCCCCCCCAGGACAAGAAGTCCCATCCAAGCCCTACCCTGTGGCCCCTGTGACCCCTGTGACATTCTCCTGGAACCTGTTCCTTACCCATCACTCACACAGGGAGGTTGTTAGAGAGGTAGTCCCATTTTACGATTCTTCCTCTCTCCACCCTAAAGAAGTATGTCCCCATGTCCTCTCTCTGTGCTTCTCTGATGCTCAGAGAGCAGTTGTAGGTCCGGGGGTCTCCAATGAGGTGCAATCAGCCTTAGGTCTTTTCCTGCGCTTTTCAATCTGGGTAGTTTGCAGCCACTGGAGCGTCCCAGAGTACAATGGCCCCTTCCCAGAACCGGTAGCCCAGATCAGGACTAGAATCAGTCAAGTGGCTCCAGGTACAGAAGAATTCGCAGGGCGTGAGGACGCACAGGCCCTCCTATATCATCAGTGACTAGGGCACTGGCAGCCACAATTTTGGACCCTGAGCCAAGGACCCTGTGGAGAAAGGAAGGTCAACTCAGCCCAGCGCCCATGGGCCCGTCTCCCGGCCACCCTCTCACCTGCCCAGAGCGGAGGCAGCAGAGGCGACAGCAGCAGCCACATCTCTGCGTCTCTGAAGAAGAGGGTTCCTGGACTTCCTGTGTGTAAGCAGAGAAGGGGCAGGTGAGTGGAGGGGATGGGGACCCACAGGAAGCTGGGGAGGAGCATTGGGACCTTGGCCTTTACAAAAGAGGAACCTCGGACCCACAGGCGGTCAGAGCTGGTCCCCCTCTGCATGCATCGGGTGAGACCCCGTGGCCCAGAGGCCTGCCCAGAGAGGAACAGACACCATCCTGTCTTCCCTCTCAGGCATTTCCCTCCAGCTCCAGAGCCTGGACCAGATAGGTGAGTCTTGCCGGCCATGCCTTGGACTTTTGTGGCTGTCTCTCCTGCCTTGTGAGTGGTGGCACAGGGACCTATGAGGCATGAGGGAAGAAGGGCAGAGGTTCTAAGAGTGCTGCTGCCCAGGCAGAGGTGCTACTGGTACCCTTAGTTTGCACCAGAAAGTGGTCACTTCCTGACCTGGCCTGAGAGAGTCACAGGATTGTCTAGACCTAAGGTTTTCAATTGGGGGCTAGTCTACACCCACAAGCATTTAACAATGTGTGGTGTCTTAGGCCGTTTCTGTGGCTTACAACAGAACGCCTGAAACTGGGTAATTTATAAAGAAATAAAATGTATTTCTTAACAGTTTTGGAGGCCAGGAAGTCTACAGTTTGGGAGGCAGGGGGTGCATCTAGGGAGGGCCTTTTTTTCCATCAATGCAGGGTAGCACATTGCAAGAATGAGCTGAGCAAGAAAGACCTAACCTCTTCACTTGTTCTCCTTTGAAAGCCACCAAAATCATGCCCACAGCCCATGAATGGATCAATCCACCGACAAGAGCACAGTCCTCATAATCTAATCCCCTCTTGAAGACCCAACTTTTCAAATACCGTAATTGGATTTCCCTTCCTCTTAACACTGTTACAAGGAAGATCAAATTTCCAATACCTGAAGCTTTGGGGACACATTTGACCCATAGCATGTGGAGACATTTTATATTGTCACACTTGATGGGCAGTGAGGTGGTGCTACTGGGATCTAGCAGGTAGAGGCTGGGGAGGCTGCTAAACACCCTGTGATGCACAGGACAATCTCCCTAACAACAAAGAGTCATCTGGCCCCACATTTCCATGATGCTAAGGTTGAGAAATGCTGCTGTAGACCCTGGAGGCAGTCAATACTGCCAGGTATAGATGTTGGAAGTCCTTTGCAGGCATTTGGGGCATAAAAGATGAGTAAGGGTCATAGGTGAAGTGTAGGAGACAGCTGTTCATTCATTAATTCAGTTATTCAACAAACAGAGAGTGAGAGTCTGCTCTGTGTTGGAGCTGGTGGCAAATACAGCAAACCCCTTTATGCTTGTGATGTGCTCCCCATGTAGGGCAGAGTCAGACAAGCTACCAGGCAACTTCCTGGTAGAGGCTATGAGGGCAGAAACACCTGCCCAAAGAGGAGCAGAGACCAGTGGGCCACTGGAGCTCGTGGCTCTGTCTGGCCAGTTGCTTTTGGGCATGAGAGAACAGACTAGCATGATCTGAACTCTCAGGGGACAAGAGGGAACATTCCAAGCTATAGGACCCTACTGTGGTCAGGGGCTCTACCTCTGCCCCAGATCAGTGAGGAGGCAAAATAGCCTTGGAGGAGGAGGAGGGCAGAGAGGACTGTCCTCAGCTCCCCCTGCATTCTACTGTCTCATGTGGCACTTCTCACTTGAGGATATTCTCAGCTGGTCCTTTCCTCCTGCCCTGACACAAGTCATCCTGCCACCCCTGCTGGAGGCCATGCCTGTACCCACTGATGGCCCAAAGTCCCACCTTCTAACACCATCACCTTAGGGTTAGGATTTCAATATGAATTTGAGGGGACACAAGCATTAAGACCATGGTCTTCCATAAACATAGACTGTAATTTATTAACTGGAGGGCTTTTGAGTCTTCAAGCATAACCTGAGACTTAGTGGGTAGAGGCCTTCCCCAGAGTCTAGGGCCTGGAAATCTGACCAATTCCTCACTTGCATGTTGTCATGTTGTGATCACTAGTCCCTGGAGTCAGAGCTATCTGATTCCTGAGATTCCCCAAAATCCAGCCATTAGAAGTTAAAGGAGGCATTGTAATGAAGCATCTGTTCCTCCTTGAGGTGGGAATGTCTACACCTGGGGCTGGGTGGGATTGAGGGGCAGCGTGGCCTGGAATTGTGCTGAAGATGTGTAGAGGCAAAAAAAAAAAGTAAAAGAAGGACTGGTGGAGATGGAAAAAAGAGTGAGGGCTCAGGAGGAGAGTGAGGGGGAGCAGAATATTTATTGATATACCCTTCACCTGTGCATATTTCCAGAGGCATCATTTTTTCATTAACCCATTGTACAAATACTTATTAATAGCAATGCCTGGCTCATACTGAATGCTTGCTAATATTAAGTTCTCTTGGGTGTACTTTAAGAAAGACACTATTGTTTTATTTATTTTACAAAAGGAAACTGATGCTGATGGAGGTCAGGCATATTGCCAAAGCTCACATATTTGATATTAGTGAGTTTAGGATTCAAACTCTGTCTGGCTCCAGTGCCTAAGTTCTTCCTGAAAGCCTGCAGTGTGCAGGGCATGGATCTAGGCGTCAGAAGTGACTCTGGGGAGAGGAAGGAATCAGATTTGAGTCTGAGAGAGAGGGAAGACTCAGAAGTGAGGTTGGGAGGGCTCTGAAGTGAGTATAGGTGGGAAATCACAGATGAGTGTGCGAAATGCTGAGTTAAAAATATCTTTGCACCATCTACAGAGGTTGGGAATGGGGGTTTCAGACTAAATGCCAAAAGGTGTAATTCCCACATCACTCACCTGGGAATCTCCTCATGACCAACTTTTTTTCCTCTCAGTTCTATCCCAGACACTTTTTTTTTTTTTTTTTTGAGGTCTTCACTCTGAATAAGAAAACTGGGTGCTTTTATTCTGGTCCTGCTGGGGAATGGGCTGGAAGACAGTCCCCTTCTCTAGTAGGATTATGGAGGGGGTGACTGAGTCAGGCTAGGAGGTTCGAATCAGAGACCTCTAGAATAAACCAGGGTCTTGCCCCTCCATCTGCACTCAAGAGCTGCACTCACCTCAACCCCAGGCTCTTGATCCCGCTCTCAATTCTTGAGATCCTGTCATCTGAACCCTCTCTGGAACAGGACCCCCACTCCAAGGTCAATGTTCACCAAATAACAAGGTAGGGCCAGAGAGAGGATAGGACCATAACTCCAGATCTTTATGGGCTAGCAAGGGGACTGCTATGGTTTGGATGCTTGTCCCCTCCAAAACTCATGTTGAAATTTAATTGACTTTGTGATGGTATTGAGAGGTGTTTAGGTCATGAAGGTTCACTCTAATAAATAAACTAATGCCATTTTCAGGAGTTGCTTTGTCATCCTGAGAGGGTTTGTCTCCTCTTGCTCACTGTCTCTTGCCCTCTCTTTGTCCTTCCACCATGTGACAACTTCTGCCACGTTACGACCCAGCAAGAAGACCCTCACCAGATGCCATCACCGTGATCTTGGTCTTCTCAGCCTCAAGAACTGCAAGAAGTAAATTTCTGTTGATTATGCATTACCTAGTCTCAGTTATTCTGTTATAGCAGCAAAAACAGACTGAAACAGGGACTGTTCTTTTGGGTCCTGGTTTCCCACCAGACAAGTGAGATTTAGATAATTCACCTCCCAGGACTCACACATTAGCATCTCCATCTTCTCTCGATTCGGATCTTTTATTCTCCAGCCCACTCTTCATCCCCAAGACCCCAGCACCCAGCCACATCCTGTACAGACCCCAAATCCCTCCCTCCAGACCCCATCACCTCTAAGACCCAGGATTCCCCAGGTCTAGCCCCACGTGGACCCCTACCTAGACAACAGCAGGACAGCATTCGTCTGTATCCCTGAGCATTTCTGACAGTTGAGCCTGAAAACAAAGTCGAGCTGTTGGATCTCATCCCTGCTGACTTGGAGCTCACTGCTGGGAAGATGCAGGGAGACCTTCTAGGAGCCCAGCAAGTCCCAGTCTCAGCAGACGAATTATCTTCTGTCTCCAGCCACTGTCCAGATTGGCTCCAGGACCCCAGACACTAAGGGCTTGGAGTGGCTGAGGGCTTGTCCCTCCAGAATGTCTTGATCACCTCCTACTCACTCCAGTGGTGAGGTATAGATCCCCACCCTAGAGTTATGGGGATGGCTGAGCAATGACACCCGACACTCAATAGATGAGATTGACCACAGATATATACTCCTAGGGGATGACACTGCACCACAGAGGGCCACATGGGTGCTGCACCTTAGAACAGAGTGGACAACCAGGGGCTGTGGGAGGCAGGCTTTGTAGTAACAAGAGAGTGGGTTGCCCCTGGTTTCTGCAGGAGTATTCGATGGGCTTGTTTAAATAATTCTGCAGGCTTGCAGGGAATGGAAATGCACTACTCAGGGATAAGCAGGAGCTGCATCTGGTCAATTTGATAAGGAGGGTTGTCCAGCCGGGGGTCTTTATCCATGAGAGCAGAGTGGTGAAGGGAACTTGAGGCTAGTCCTTTCAAGATCCTCCCAATATTACCAGATGTCAAAGCAGCACATGATATTAATCTTAGACCTTATATCACATAGGACCAGATCAGTGTGGTAGGGAGGAGAGCCACACAAAGCAGGCACAAAAACTGGCCATTGCCCAGAGCTTGCGTGCTGAAGAGACAGAGAGACAAGGAGAGAGAGATAGAGACAAAGAGAGACATAGAGACAGAGGAAGAGAGAGACTCCCCAGAGCACCCATCCGACTCTGCAACATGAGCAGAGACTTCTCAGATCCCTAACTCTTTCCCTGTTGATGAAGGTTGTTCTGTTCCCCCACTTAATGTCCTTACAGGTTTTTTCCTTCTGTATTCTGTACCCTAGAGGCCTAGAAAAGAGGCAGGGTCTCCGAAGTTCACAAGAGGCCAGAACCAGACCCTCACTGGGCAATACGACAGGTGTAGTGATGAAGGCAATGGGGTGGAGGATGCCCTGAGG